TTTAATATTAATTGTAGAATGAGTCTGAGTGAACAAGTTCCTTCTGTTTCGTTCTTGATCATAACGTTCAGTGTGTCACTAATACTCGTCGTTCTTCTCTTGTTGTGGATAAATTGGAGAGATTGTGGAGAAAACGACACACATTTACAGCGCGGCACTTCCGGCCCTGAGTGACTCTGGACGTCCTGGGGGAGACTCTTTGGCGCGTCTTAGCTCCTCCCACTTTCCCCATTTTTTTGTGTTTTTCGGTAAATGCTCTTTGTTTTTTTCTCACCGTATTCTCGGACTTCAAACGTGGTGCTGGCTGTTGTGTCAAAGTGCTCCATGTACGACGCCTCGATGCTCCAGATGCCCAACCTGCACCCAGAGAGAACAGGAAGATACAGGATGTACCACACACCAGTACACACAGTACACAGTACACAGTATACAGTACACAGTATATAGTGCACAGTATAGAGTGCACAGTTTAGAGTACACAGTATAGAGTACACAGTACACAGTATACAGTACACAGTATACAGTACACAGTATATAGTGCACAGTATAGAGTGCACAGTATAGGGTACACAGTATAGAGTACACAGTATACAGTATAGAGTACACAGTATAGAGTACACAGTATACAGTACACAGTATATAGTGCACAGTATAGAGTGCACAGTATAGGGTACACAGTATAGAGTACACAGTATACAGTATAGAGTACACAGTATAGAGTGCACAGTTTAGAGTACACAGTACACAGTATACAGTATACAGTACACAGTATACAGTGCACAGTATATAGTGCACAGTATATAGTGCACAGTTTAGAGTACACAGTATAGAGTACACAGTACAGTACACAGTATACAGTATACAGTACACAGTATACAGTGCACAGTATATAGTGCACAGTATATAGTGCACAGTTTAGAGTACACAGTACACAGTATATAGTGCACAGTTTAGAGAGTACACAGTACACAGTATACAGTACACAGTATACAGTGCACAGTATAGAGTACACAGTATAGAGTACACAGTATATAGTGCACAGTATAGAGTGCACAGTATAGAGTGCACAGTTTAGAGTACACAGTATACAGTATACAGTACACAGTATACAGTGCACAGTATAGAGTACACAGTATATAGTACACAGTATAGAGTGCACAGTATAGAGTACACAGTATACAGTATAGAGTACACAGTATAGAGTACACAGTATACAGTACACAGTATACACAGTATACACACAGTATACACAGTATACAGTACACAGTATACAGTACACAGTATAGAGTACACAGTATAGAGTACACAGTATAGAGTACACAGTATACACAGTATACAGTGCACAGTATACAGTGCACAGTATAGAGTACACAGTATAGAGTACACAGTATAGAGTACACAGTACAGAGTACACAGTATATAGTACACAATATACAGTGCACAGTATACAGTACACAGTATAGAGTACACAGTATAGAGTACACAGTATAGAGTACACAGTATACACAGTATACAGTACACAGTATAGAGTACACAGTATAGAGTACACAGTATAGAGTACACAGTATAGAGTACACAGTATACAGTACACAGTATACAGTAGTAGTACACAGTATACAGAGTACACAGTATACACAGTATAGCACAGTATAGAGTACACAGTATAGAGTACACAGTACACAGTATAGAGTACACAGTATAGAGTACACAGTATAGAGTACACAGTATAGAGTACACAGTATAGCAGTATACAGTACAACAGTATACAGTGCACAGTATAGAGTACACAGTATACACAGTATAGAGTACACAGTATATACAGTATGCACAGTATAGAGTGCACAGTATACAGTACACAGTATAGAGTACACAGTATAGAGTACACAGTATACAGTGCACAGTATACAGTGCAGAGTATAGAGTACACAGTATAGAGTACACAGTATAGAGTACACAGTATATAGTGCACAGTATACAGTGCACAGTATACAGTACACAGTATAGAGTACACAGTATAGAGTACACAGTATAGAGTACACAGTATAGAGTACACAGTATAGAGTGCACAGTATAGATTGCACAGTATACAGTGCACAGTATACAGTGCACAGTATACAGTACACAGTATAGAGTACACAGTATAGAGTACACAGTGTTATTAGTGTGTGTCAGTACTTGGGGTTGATGGGGATCCTGAAGGGGTTCTGCATCGACGGCATCCCATTACTGACGTCCTTCACCTCCACCACGTCCACCTTCTCAAGGTCCGGGTCCTGCACAAGTACTTATACTGTGAGTAAAACAGGAACTACTACTACTAGTGTTGGGAAGTAACTAAATACAAACAGAAAATACATATTCCTCATATAAATGATAAATAACTGTACTGTAGTATTCTGTATTCTTTCATTTGGCAGTAATCAGAATTTAATTATGTTCCTACTTTCCTGCTACAAACATAAAGTGTTTTCTGTATTCAGAGTATTCAAAGTTCACAACACTGGCTACTACTACTACTACTACTACTACTACTACTACTACTACTACTACTACTACTACTACTACTACTACTACTACTACTGATTTAATCGTTATTATCTTATTGACTTGTTCGGAATCTATTCTTCTGAGGTATTTGCTGTCAAAGTGTTTTTCTCCACCAGGGGGCAGTGTGTTTAACCTCAGCAGTTTCTAGTTTTAAATGGTTCAGTGTCTTTTCTTAATTTTCTTGACCAAAGTCAAATAAATGAACTTACGCAGGAATAAACAGACGGGGGAATGCAAAAAAAAAAAAAAGATTTTCTTGCCTCACATTTGACCAAACTCTGGGTCTGTGGAGTGTTTGTACGTTTGTACGGTGGTAACACTTGAGGTGCGTTGTGTGTGTGTGTGTGTGTGTGTGTGGAGTCCTTGCGCCCCCTGCAGGACAGCAGAGGAACACTCACCCTGAACGTGAGGAAGACGCTGCGGTCGGCCGGTCTCAGCTCCTGGTTCAGAGAAAAGGCCCGGACCTTCACTGTGGACACACACCAGACACAATTTACACTTTAATTTAGCAAACCATAAAAGAACCACTGATATTTATAAGACAGTGTCTCCCGGGGTGTGTACAGTACGTACCTCTCTCCCGGGGTGTGTACAGTATTAATCTCTCTCCTGGGGTGTGTACAGTATGTACCTCTCTCCCGGGGTGTGTACAGTACGTACCTCTCTCCCGGGGTGTGTACAGTATGTACCTCTCTCCCGGGGTGTGTACAGTATTAATCTCTCTCCCGGGGTGTGTACAGTACGTACCTCTCTCCCGGGGTGTGTACAGGGGCTTGTCCGTCTGAACCAGCAGGAATCCGTTGGTGCGGCTCAGGGGCACAGACAGGTGCTGGTTGAAGGTGCCTGATTGGACGAGGAGGATCACATGGTCCATGGATTTGTCCACCTGCTCCGGGAACAGCTGCAGAGGACAAAACACAAAAGTGTGTTTTGTGTTGTTGTGTTGTTGTGTGTTGTGTGTGTTGTGTGTTGTTGTGTGTTGTGTGTTGTTGTGTGTTGTTGTGTGTTGTTGTGTGTTGTTGTGTGTTGTGTGTTGTTGTGTGTTGTTGTGTGTGTGTGTGTTGTTGTGTGTGTGTGTTGTGTGTTGTTGTGTGTTGTTGTTGTTGTGTTGTTGTGTGTTGTGTGTGTGTTGTGTGTTGTGTGTGTTGTGTGTGTTGTGTGTTGTGTGTGTGTTGTGTGTTGTTGTGTGTGTGTGTGTTGTGTGTTGTGTGTGTGTTGTGTGTTGTGTGTTGTGTGTGTTGTGTGTTGTGTGTTGTTGTGTGTTGTTGTGTGTTGTTGTGTGTTGTTGTGTGTTGTTGTGTGTTGTGTGTGTTGTGTGTGTGTGTTGTTGTGTGTTGTTGTGTGTTGTTGTGTGTTGTGTTGTTGTGTGTGTGTGTTGTTGTGTGTTGTGTGTTGTGTGTTGTGTGTTGTTGTGTGTTGTGTGTGTTGTGTGTTGTTGTGTGTTGTTGTGTGTTGTGTGTGTTGTGTGTGTGTTGTGTGTTGTGTGTTGTTGTTGTTGTTGTGTGTGTGTGTGTTGTGTGTTGTGTGTTGTTGTTGTTGTGTGTTGTGTTGTGTGTGTTGTTGTTGTGTGTTGTGTGTTGTTGTGTGTTGTGTGTTGTTGTGTGTTGTGTTGGTGTGTACCCGTAGCTGCACTTCGCCCATGTGCATGTTGGGGGCGCTCAGGGTCACGTGCTCGTGCAGGATCGGTGGTTGGGCCATGCTCTTCTTCACGTACACGTGAACCATCACCGTCTCTGTGAAACCAAACACCTGCAGCACCACCTTCTCCACCGCGTCCAGCCTGAAGGACAGAGGAGCCGCCACCACGAACCTGCACAGACAGGAGCAGACAGGTGCTGAGGCAGGCGCTGACAGGAGCAGAGACAGAGGAGTAAAGACAGACCCCTCCCTGAACCGTCACCTTAACTTCGTGGTGGAGGTTTGAGCCCGAATGAACCCAGGAGCTGTGTTGTTGAGAGCTTCTGGGTCCTGGTCACCCAAGGCAAACAGGTCCGAGGGGACGGGTCAGACTAAGAACGGTTCAGAAGCACCATATAGTTCAGAACGTCCTCCCTGATCTGAACCCGAGCGGTGTTCTGATTATTGGACTTCTGTCACAGTTTGTCCATAATTAACACCATGTTCGAGCACAAGGGTGTCCATAAGTGCACGTGGCACCAGGACACCCTCGGCCGGAGGTCAATGATCGACTTTGTAGTCTTGTCATCTGATCTCCGGCCGCGTGTCTTGGACACTCGGGTGAAGAGAGGGGCTGAGCTGTCAACTGATCACCACCTGGTGGTGAGTTGGGTTCACTGGCGAAGGAGGAAGCCAGAAAGACCTGGTAGGCCCAAGCGTGTAGTGAGGGTCTGTTGGGAACGTCTGGCAGAGCCTCTGGCAGAGGGACCTTTAACTCACACCTCCAGGAGCTTCTCACAGATTCTGGGGGAGGCTGGGGATATGGAGTCCGAGTGGGTTTTGTTCTCCACCTCTATTGTCGATGCAGCTGCTCGTAGCTGTGGGCGTAAGGTCTGTGGTGCCTGTCGCGGCAGCAAACCCCAAACCCGGTGGTGGACACCGGAAGTAAGAGATGCCGTCAGGCTGAAGAAGGAGTCCTATTGGGTCTTGTTGGCTTGTGGGACTCCTGAGGCAGCTGATGGTACCTGTGAGCCAAGCGTGCAGCCCGTGCGGTCGCAGAGGCAAAATCTCTGAGCTGGGAGGAGTTTGGTTAGGCCACGGAGGAGGACTAAGCAACACAAATGAGTTTCCTCTGCAGGGTGTCTGGGCGTCTCCCTTAGAGACAGAGTGAGGAGCTCAGTCACACGGGAGAAGCTCGGAGTAGAGCCGCTGCTCCTCCTGTATTATTTAATACAGACGGGGATGGAAAAAAAAAATATTTGGGGACAAAAGTAATATTTATTAAATCTTGTATTTCATTGAGGTCAATAATAGAAATGATCAAGTTAAACATTTGCTCCTTTGATTGGAACGATCTTTCGTCATCGCTTTTTGTATCAACTTGTCTTTTCATTTAAAAATGCTCTGGTGCAATATTTACAAAACCCATGTGATGGTTTTGGATCATTTTATCAAATTTTGTGACTATATTTGAACTCTGTGTTTTTGTTCAGATTTGATTTATTATGTGTCTAACAGTCAAGTGTAAGAGGTTTTTTTTTAATGTTTATTTGAATGTGTGTAGCCGACTGTCTGTCCGACTGTTTCTGTCTTTGGCTGTTGTAACTATGAGGACCCTGAGACTCTCAAGGGGCTCATCCTCAAAACAAATGCATTCAATCAAATAAATTCAAATTTTGGATGGGTCATGACAAAGTACAATGTGATCAGTCAGGAATTTGTTCCTTGCTCCCGTCTGGGAGCATGAAATCATCAGATTCTAGAATCTGAAACATCCAAATATTAATGACAGAATCAGCGGCGTTTTCCACAAATGAAACTTTGAAAGGGTCAGACTCACGTTCTCTCCTGAGCCTCTGTCCTCGTGCACATCGACCCGACAAGGAGCAGCACCACCGTCTTCACCGAAACCTCCAACATCCTGCCAGACCCCAGGACCCAACACCTGGTCCAGTCCTGGTTCAAATCCGGGTGAAGTCCTGACTCAGTCCTCGTCCACACTGTTGTAAAAAGACTTCAGACGTGTGTTTTGGTCTCTGGGTCAGATCCACATTTGTTTCTGTAAAGGTTTCCCTGGTTGTCTGGTATTGGTTTAGTCCTGTGTTAAACCTGGTTTAGTCTCGGTCTGGACCCTGTTTCAGACCTGGATTGAGCCCAGATGCCCCGGAGGAGGAGGTGTGTGTATGTGTGTGTGTGTGTGTGTGTGTGTGTGTGTGTGTTTGTTTATTGGTTTCCGTTGACGGTAAATCAGCTCCAGGGAAACTCACGACTCAAAGGTCTGTGTGTCCACATCGAGTTTTGTGTTTGCAGATCGACTAAAGGGACAAAAGCCACTGGAGCAAAACGTCTATCAAACAAAAATCACCACAAATCACTACAGTACTGCAGTAACTCTAGTACTGCACAAACTGTAGTACTGCAGAAACTGTAGTACTGCAGAAACTGTAGTACTGCAGAAACTGTAGTACTGCACAAACTGTAGTACTGCAGAGTGTCTCCAGACTTTGAATTAGAGCTGGACGGAGATTCCAGTAACACACTGTTCTTAAAGAGTTTTCTTTATCACTATTATTAGTTTGTACGACCATAAATGAAAACCAAAATCCTTCCTTTTTTCATTCTTATTACTGTTTACTTTGTACGATCATAAATGATAAACTTTAGAGAAAGAGAGAATATTTTAATTGTTTTTGTAACAGTTACAGTGACATTAAGTTCAGTCCTTGTTCAGAGCAAAAGCAACAATAAATAATAAAAGATAGAATCTCTATGGACATAAAATAAATACATTTTAAAAATGGATTAGTTTGTACGACCATAAATGAAAACAAAAAATACTTACATTTTTCATTGTCATTACTGCTTATTTAGTACGATCATAAACGATAAACTTTGTGCCTCTTTATCATTTTTATTACTTTGTACGACAATAAATAAAAATATATTTGTGTGTGTGTATATGTGTGTTTATGTATATGTGCATAAGTGTCTGTCACATAATTGTGTAAAATAATTGGGGTAAGACACTATATGTTTTTTTTTAAACTTCCTCCTCCTTTTGAGCTCCAGGTCCAAATATGAACATGTTCATATTGTTTTTGTTGTTGTTGTTTTACTTTTGTCAAACTAATAAAATGATAAAGGAGGTGTTCTGTGTGTCTGGGGTTTAACTGTGACTCATTTTTACATCATCATGTTCTTTTTACTCTTTGAAAATGTGACTGGTTCAAAACGCTGAGTTCACGTTTACATCAGAGGAGGAGGTCTGGGTCTGAGTCTGGGTCTGGAGCTGGTCCAGGGTCTGTCCAGGTCTGAGGTTTATGGTACAGTACATCTGAAATGTGTACTGTATTATACTATACTGTACTGTACTGTACTGTACTAAATACTTCATAGGAGTGAGTCTGTGGGTCTGAAGTCCAGGAGGAGTCTGTGTCCAAGACGAGTTTAAACAGTGAAGTTTCTCTGTGTTTATCTGAGTCACTCTGTTCTAGAGTTAATTTAACATTTTTGTAAATGTTCATGAAGTAACACTGGACTAAAGTTCCTGTTTAACCTGAAATCCAGAGTTATATGAACATTTTGAGAGTAAACAGATAACACTTTGTAGAGTTATCCCCATTTAACTAAACAACACACAGAGGGTGTTTTATTTTTACACTTTAATTGAGTTAATTTAAGATGAAATTATGAACAAAACTGGTTCAAACTGGTCTTGTCTTACACTAAGAGAAGTTGAATTAACTTCAACCAAATCAATTCTGGCAAATAACTCCAACTCCAACACATTTAACTTTCAAAGAGTTAAAAATTACACTTTTTGTGTTAAAAACAACTCTGAAATATTTTACCCTGAAATTTAAACCTTCCACTTTTTGCTGTGTGATTCTAACATGATTGTGTCAGTGTTGTGAGTGTTGTGTCAGTGTTTGTGTCAGTGTTGTGTTGTGTTGTGTTGTGTCAGTGTTGTGTTGTGTTGTGTGTGTTGTGTGTGTGTGTGTTGTTGTGTGTTTGTTTGTTTGTGTTCAGTGTTGTGTTGTGTTGTGTTTGTGTCAGTGTTGTGTTGTGTTGTGTTGTGTTGTGTCAGTGTTGTGTTGTGTCAGTGTTGTGTTGTGTGTTGTGTTGTGTGTGTCAGTGTTGTGTGTGTTGTGTTGTGTTGTGTCAGTGTTGTGTTGTGTTGTGTTGTGTTGTGTTGTGTTGTGTTGTGTTGTGTTGTGTGTTGTGTTGTGTCAGTGTTGTGTTGTGTTGTGTTGTGTTGTGTTGTGTTGTGTTGTGTTGTCAGTGTTGTGTCAGTGTTGTGTTGTGTGTGTTGTGTTGTGTCAGTGTTGTGTTGTGTTGTGTTGTGTCAGTGTTGTGTTGTGTTGTGTCTGTGTTGTGTTGTGCAGTGTTGTGTTGTGTTGTTCTTTGTGTTGTGTAGTTTTTGGAGTAAATATTGTGTCACTGTAAAGTTCACAGACTTACATCAGATTTGGAGTCAGGTCACATGACGACAGAGTGAATCTTCTGCTCCTCTGACTCTCTGCTCTACATCTTCTGCTCCTCTGCTGTGTCTCTACAGATCCATGAATCTCTCAGATCTTCCTCTAGGCCTGATGTTTCTTGTGGCTCCAGCCTCTTCCTCCTCGAGGAGGAACAGTGAATATGTGGTACAGAGGAGGAACAGACTCGACCCCAGAGAAGAGGAAGAACATGGGTTCTTCCTCTTCTCTGGGGTCGAGTCTCGGGGGCATCAGTCTAAGCAGAGACTCCCAGACTTCCTTCACCCCAGACACTTTCTCCAGCTCCACTGAGGGGACCCCGAGGTGTTCCCAGGCCAGCCCAGAGACATAGTCCCTCCAGTGTGTCCTGGGTCTTCCTCGGGTTCCTCCTCCCGGTGGGACATGAACACCTCCTGAGGGAGACGTCCAGGAGACATCAGAACAGATGCCCGAGCCTCAACTGGCTCCTCTCCACGTGGAGGAGCAGCGGCTCTACTCTGAGCTCCTCCCATGTGACTGAGCTCCTCACTCTGTCTCTAAGGGAGACGCCCAGACACCCTGCGGAGGAAACTCATCTGGTCCTGTCGATCATGACCCAGAGCTCCTCTGTTCCACATGTTCCCAGCTCCTCGTCTTCATCATGAACAGAGAGGACGAAGAGCGTTTCAGACAGAATCAATACTTTATTATTATAATTATAATCTTTAACACAGGAGCACAGGATTATTCACACTCAAACAATAAAGTGACACTTTGGATTTTCACGTTCACACGGACAAGTTTGTTTTGTTCAGACTCATGCAGCAGATCTTCATCATCATCATCATCATCATCATCATCATCGACATTTGAATAACAAGGAGAACACACAGATTTACAGATTTACAGATTTACAGCGCTGAGATTAAAAGAGGCTCTGGCCCAATTTGGGTCAAAATGAAAAAGAGACAAAAAGGTTTAAGTCTGGGACTAAACCAGGACTAGACCAGGACTAAACCAGGACAAAACCAAATCTAAACCAGGTCTAAATCAATTAATCTAATCCAGGACTAAACCAGGATTAAACCAGGTCTAATAAAGGTCTTAACCCAGTTTTAACCAGGACCAAACTAGGTCTAAACCAGGACTAAACCAGTCTATAAATGAACCTCTAAACCAGGTCTAAACCAGGTCTATCTCTCCCCACGCCCGGCGCCCTCTTGTGGTCAGGTGTGGTGTGGCTCCGGGGGGCAGGAGAGTCTTTACGTCATCGTCTCAAACTTTCATGAAACGTTTAAATAAATACAGGAGTTTTTGGAGCTGCAGTACCAGCACTGACCACCAGAGCGGCTCCACTGCCCCAGACTCAGCTTTAACTCAGCAGGCAAAAGTACTTCAAACATGCAAAAGTACTTCAAACATGCAGTACACCGGAGTACACACCAGGTCCCAAATACTCACAGGACTCGTACGACCAACTGGACCTAAAATGGTTTAAACAAAGACCGACCCAGGACCCAAAAACAGGACTAAACCAGGACTCAAAACCAGATCTAAACCAGGACTAAACCAGGACTAAACCAGGACTCAAAACCAGGACCAAACCAGGACTAAACCAGGTCTAAACCAGGACTAAACCAGGACTGAACCAAATCTAAACCAGGACTAAACTAGGACTAAACCAGGACTCTAAACCAGGACTAAACCAGGTCTAAACCAGGTCTAAACCAGGACCAAACCAGGACTAAACCAGGACCAAACCAGGACCAAACCAGGTCTAAACCAGGACTAAACCAGGACCAAACCAGGACTAAACCAGGACTAAACCAGGTCTAAACCAGGACTAAACCAGGACTAAACCAGGACCAAACCAGGACTAAACCAGGACCAAACCAGGACCAAACCAGGTCTAAACCAGGACTAAACCAGGTCTAAACCAGAACTAAACCAGGACTCAAAACCAGGTCTAAACCAGGACTAAACCAGGACTAAACCAGGACTAAACCAGGACTCCAAACCAGGTCTAAACTGGGACTAAACCAGAACTGAACCAGGACTGAACCTGTGTCAAAACAAGGACTAAACAAGGATTCAAAACCAGGTCTAAACCAGGACTAAACCAGGTCTAAACCAAGTCTAACCCAGAACTGAACCAGGTCTAAACCAGGACTCAAAACCAGGTCTAAACCAGGTCTAAATCAGGATTAAATTTGTGCAAAAACCAGGACTAAACAAAATTTAACCAAACCAGAGTCATTACAGAGTCTGTAACAGGTCCAAACCAGGTCTAAACCAGAACTAAACTGGGACTTAACCAAATTTAACCATTGTTCAAAACCAGAGTCCTTCGAGGGTCTGTAACAGGTCCAAACCAGATCTAAACCAGGTCCAAACCAGATCTAAACCAGGTCCAAACCAGAACTAAACCAGGTCTGTACCGGGCCTAAACGGGTCCTGGACCGGGTCCTGGACCGGGTCTTCACAGGACCATGGTGGGGATGTGGTGTCCCAGGACGGCGGGGTGGGGGGGGGGGGAGGGGGGGTGCTGTGGCCCACGTGCACGCTCGTCCCGCTCACGTGCACGCCCGCCGGCCCCACGTGCACGCCCGCCGGCCCCAAGTGCACGCCCTGCCCCCCCTCCGAGGTCGGACGGTGACGGGCGCTCTTCTGGTGCGCACGGAGCCCTGTCACACACACAACGACAGGGTCAGGAGCAGCACCTGACACACACACGAGGGGACCTGACACACACGGGGACACACCTGACACACACACACACGAGGGGACCTGACACACACACACACACACACGAGGGGACCTGACACACACACACGAGGGGACCTGACACACACACACGAGGGGACCTGACACACACACAGGTACAGGTGGGCCAAACCTAGAACTAAACCAAAACTAAACCAGGACTAAACCAGGACTAAACCAGAACTAAACCAGGACTAAACCAGTATTAAACTCAAAACTAAACCCGGTCTAAACCCAGTCTAAACCTGGTCTAAACCTGATCTAAACCCGGTCTATTCCCGGTCTAAACCCGGTCTAAACCCAGTCTAAACCCAGTCTAAACCCAGTCTATCCCAGGTCTAAACCCGGTCTAAACCCAGTCTAAACCCGGTCTAAACCCGGTCTAAACCCGGTCTGGTACCTGCGAGCTGGGAGTAGGCGGACTGGCAGACCACACACTTGTAGGGACGCTCTCCCGTGTGCAGGCGGACGTGGTTGCGGAGCGTGGACGACTGACTGAAGCGGCGGTTGCAGAAGCGGCAGACGAAGGGTTTGTCGAGCGTGTGGATCCTCATGTGCGAGCGAAGGTTCGAGCGCGAGTTAAATCCCCGGTGACAGATCACGCAGCGCATCCTGCCCACGCTCAAGGGCACGCCGGCCAAGGGGGCGGAGCCAGGGCCCGCCGCCGCCACCGAGTCAATGTGGAACTCATCTGCACGAAAAGAGACAGGAGAGGGTCAGGACTAGACCAGGACTAAACCAGGACTAAACCAGGACCAGACCAGGACCAGCCCAGAACTAAACCAGGATTAAAACAGGACTAAAACAGGACTAAACCAGGACTAAAACAGGACTAAACCAGGACTAAACCAGGACTAGACCAGGACTGAACCAGGACTGAACCAGGACTAAACCAGGACTGAACCAGGATTAAAACAGGACTAAACCAGGACTAAAACAGGACTAAACCAGGACTAAAACAGGACTAAACCAGGACTAAACCAGGACTGAACCAGGACTGAACCAGGACTAAACCAGGACTAAAACACGACTAACCCAGGACTAAACCAGGACTAAACCAGGACTAGACCAGGACCAGACCAGGACTAAGCCAGGACTAAACCAGGACTAAACCAGGACTAGACCAGGACCAGACCAGGACTAAACCAGGACTAAACCAGGACTGAACCAGGACCAGACCAGGACTAAACCAGGACTAAAGCAGGACTAAACCAGGACTAAACCAGGACTGAACCAGGACCAGACCAGGACTAAACCAGGACTAAACCAGGACTGAACCAGGACCAGACCAGGACTAAACCAGGACTAAAGCAGGACTAAACCAGGACTAAACCAGGACTGAACCAGGACCAGACCAGGACCAGACCAGGACTAAAGCAGGACTGACCGCTCTTGCTCTTCTTGCTGTGGTCCTCGTCTCCTCCGGGGATGCCTGGGATCCCGAGGAAAGTGTTGTGTGAGTTTCCGTACCAGACGAGAAGCTCCTGGTCCGGAGGGATGGTCTGAGGAGACACATAAAACACACACAAATACACACACACAAAGACACACACAAACACACACACACACAAACACACACAAACACAAACACACACACAAACACACACACAAACACACACACAGTTTACAATCTATTAATTTTACTTTTGTATAAACTAACACAGAAGCTTCTTTGATACACTTCACCTGAAAACACTGAGGAGTATTTGTTGCATTTATCCACCAGAGGGAGCTGTGTCCATAAGATCTCATCTAAACCAGATCTAAACCAGGTCTAAACCAGGTCTAACCAGGTCTAAACCAGGTCTAAACCAGGACTAAACCAGGTCTAAACCAGGTCTAAACCAGGTCTAAACCAGGACTAAACCAGGTCTAAACCAGGACTAAACCAGGTCTAAACCAGGACTAAACCAGGTCTAAACCAGGTCTAAACCAGGTCTAACCAGGACTAAAACCAGGTCTAAACCAGGACTAAACCAGGTCTAAAACCAGGTAAACTAAACCAGGACTAAACCAGGTCTAAACCAGGTCTAAACCAGGTCTAAACCAGGTCTAAACCAGGACTAAACCAGGTCTAAACCAGGTCTAAACCAGGTCTAAACCAGGTCTAAACCAGGTCTAAACCAGGTCTAAACCAGGTCTAAACCAGGACTAAACCAGGTCTAAACCAGGTCTACACCAGGACTAAACCAGGTCTAAACCAGGTCTAAACCAAGTCTAAACCCGGTCTAAACCAGGACTAAAACAGGTCTAAACCAGGTCTAAACCAGTACTAAACCAGTACTAAACCAGGTCTACACCAGGACTAAACAAGAACTAAACAATGACTAAACTAGGACTACACCAGGACTAAACCTGATCTACACCAGGTCTAAAACAGGACTAAATCAGGTCTAAACCAGTACTAAACCAGGTCTACACCAGGACTAAACAAGGACTAAACCAGGTCTAAACCAGGACTAAACAAGACTAAAACCAGACTAAACCTAAACCAGGTCTAAACCAGGACTAAACCAGGACTAAACCCGGACTAAACCAGGACTAAACCAGGTCTAAACCAGGTCTAAACCAGGTCCAAACCAGGACTAAACAAGAACTAAACAAGAACTAAACAATGACTAAACTAGGACTACACCAGGACTAAACCTGATCTACACCAGGTCTAAAACAGGACTAAAACAGGACTAAACCAGGTCTACACCAGGAATAAACAAGGACTAAACCAGGTCTAAACCAGGACTAAACCAGGACTAAACCAGGACTATACCAGGTCTAAACCAGGTCTCACCTCCACAGCTTTGTAGAAGATGCTGGACCCGACCTGGACCACCTCCAGGTTCTGCTCCTGTTCGTTTCTCGCACACTTGATGTAGGTCATCCAGCTCCTCTGGTCCTCCTGACTCGCATCGATGAAGTAACGCACCGTCCCGTCCTCGTTAAACACCTGAACGCACAACACACACACAAACACACACACACAAAGTTAGGTATTTCTCAGCTTCTAAAAAAGTGCCTGTGTTGGTGAAGTTTGACTTTAGATCAGTGGTGGCCAATTGAGAAACAGAAAATATTGTGGAGGCCAAAATGTTTAACTAATGTATAAAGGAACGAGCAATATATTATCTGTAAATATTAAAGTCTGATTGAGATAAGAACAAGTCTCTACAATTTAAAAGGAACCCACAAAAAACCCAGACTCAGAGTCGAGGTTCTGGAGCCAAGCGTCGGCGTGAAAATCATTAAAGGTTGTATGGAGGATTTTTTTTTTTTTTCAAATTGTCAGTGAAAGTTTAAAATACCATTACAGAGACACAGCAGCCTTGTAACTATGATGACCAAAAAAAAAAAAAAGAATGAAAATCTATCAACTGTGGACGTAGTGAGGCCAGATAAGCATCAGCCAATAGAAAACGAGCATCCCTCTTTATCTATTGGCTGATGGGTTGTCAATCAAACTCCCTATGTTTTTAGTGAAAGTGACTTGTTGGCACGCGGGGATTATGTGGTTTATGCAGCAGTTCTTAGAGGCTTTTTCAAACTGTCGCTCTCTCGCATTTCGCACAAAGTTTGTCGCGACAGGCGGACGAGAATCCGCGGCCAGTTCGCCGCAAAAGAAAGTCGGTTTCTGTGGTCGCTGAAAGAAGAAGAGAAGTGGAAAAAGAGTGAAGACAAACTGAGGTGATTCTTGGATATTTCTTCCAGCAATGGCGCAGCTGATGCAGATGAAGTGTCTAAAAACTGATGCGTCGGACGATAAATTACTTCTAGACAGGTCACTTCAACAGTAATTCTGAACAAGCGATGTAAACAAGCGTGATTTCTAGAGTAAAGAGGCGGGAGGAGGCCTTAAAAAAATCCTCTATACAACCTTTAACTTACGGAAAAGCCTCGACAAAGAAATAAAAGAATCAAGTATAATGATGGGATTAAAAAAAAAAAAAAAAACACAAAATCAAATGCAATGTGTATGTATGAGAAAAAAAACTAACTTCTCCATAACAGTTAAAGCTTTTTATTTGCAGTTGATTAATAATTGTGCCTGATTTGAAAAGTTCTAAAAGATTTGATAAAGTAATTATCGGTGTTGATGTTTTGTCGGGAAAAGTGAAAAGACAGCAGAGAACAGAAGACGACTCTTTTTTTTTTCTGCTTCCTTTTCATTAATTTCTTGTGTGTTTGATGTTGTGACACTGTCGATGTCTTTTTATACTTTATGAATGAAATAAAAAAATAAATAAATCAAAATAAATAACTCAATTGTGCAAAATATTAATTGTATTTCTTTATTTAAAAAAAAAAAAGTAAATCTCATTGTTGTGAAAAGTTTCTGGCTCAGCAATGAAAAAGTGAAGCTGCCGAACAAAAAAATGTCACTAAAAAAACACCTCTAAAATAAAATAAAAGCAGCTTTAGTTCAGGCATGAGGTCAAATTATGAAACATGTTTATTTTGTGATTCTAAATGATCTTAAATGAGCCGATCAGAGTCAAAAAAAAAAAAAGGACTGTATGTGGCTCTGGAGCTGGACACGCTCAGGTCTGATCTGGTGCACAGACTGGATAAAGAAATGTTCTCAGCGAGTGTGACGTCCCCACAATGTTCAGCGATGCTCAAATGAAGCTCACGATGCTCACGGTCACAGGAGCCAATCAGGAGCCAGAGTTTATATTAGTAATGATTTTCTTTGACGGACAAAATAGTGAAATAAAAACTCCAGGATCATGTGTCGCGGGTTCATACGAATATTTAAAGACCAAAATGTCGAGGCTCAGAGCGGCAGGAACAGAGAGAAGAGCCACGAGATTCTACTGTGAGCCAAAGGAGCCAGAGGTGAGAAGGAGTCAGAAGAGCGATCTACATGAGGATTAAACCAGATGCCCTCCCGTACCTCCCACATGAGGTTGTTGTTCTTGAACAGGTCGATGTGTTCGGGCGACACCAGGCGTCCGGTGAAAGGTCCCATCTCTGTCCCGGCCTTGATCCACGTCTTCGAGAAGATCCCCAGACCCTCTCCTGCAGCAAACGCACAACAGGAACAGGGTTAGAACGCACAACGAATCACTACACAATACACACCCACACACGTACATCCTCTTTTGAAGCAAATGCACAACACAAGCAGGGTTAGAACACACAACTAATCACTACACAATATACACACACGCACATACACCCTCTCCTGAAGAAGACGCACAACAGGAACAAGGTAAGAACACACAATGAAAGTCACACACACAATCACTACACAATATACACACACGTACGCATGCATCTACACACACACACGCACTGACACACACACGTACACACACATATACACACACACACACATGTACACACACATATACACACACATATATACACACACACACACGTACACACACATATATACACACACACATGTACACACACACACACTGACACAGACGCATGTACACACACATATATACACGCACATGTACACACGCACACACGCAGAGACACAGACACATGTACACACACACATATGTATACACACACACACATATATACACACACACACATATATACACACACACGCACATATACACGCACATATACACACAGCACACACGCAGAGACACAGACACATGTACACACATATATACACACACACACATGCACGCACACACACATATATACACGCACATATACACACACACACACGCACTGACAGACACATGTACACACACACATATGTACACACACACATATACACACACACACATATACACACGCACATATACACACACATATACACACGCACACACGCACTGACACAGACACATGTACACACACACATATATATACACACATGCATGCACACATGCATGCACACACACTATACACACACAAACTACACACACACGCACACACAAACAAACACACACACACTGACATGCACACACACTACTCACACACGTACATACACACACATATGCACACACACTCATGTACACACACACACAGACACGCACACACTCACACACACACACTCAGACACACACACTATATACACACACACACAGTATAAATTATATGCAGTATATGTTTTTTCTTTTTCTTTCTGTGGGTAAAGAAAAGTCACACACACTGTCGGACACTTTGCCTGTTGTGTGCTGTGGGTCCTCATAAATCACATTGTGTGAGTCGGACGGTGTGTGTGATTTTTCTCTGTTTTGTTGAGCTGCTCCTTCTGCTCCAACACACACACGTCTCAACTAACTGATGTGTGAAGTTCTCATTCTTTCTTTGTGCGCCAACATCATCAGCATCTTCACACACATAAATACAGTTCACGTGTTCAATAACATGATAATAATACAGATTTTCTGTATTTTGCCAAAACAAATGATAATTTCTGTCTCTATTTACTGTTGTCAGGGATCAAATTGCTCAAAAATAGGGACATTTCTTGCATAAAATTGGGACAAATCAGTGGTTTTGTTTAAATCTGTTGGGACAAGGACACAGGCTCAAAACTGGAACTGTCCTGGGGAAACAGGGATGACAAAATAAAAAATTTTATGCAGTAAGAGAAAATTCTGTGACTTGGGCCTAATTTCTTTATGCTGAATCTTGCCTTTCAAAAGTCACTCCATGTGCTGCTATTTTTGACCAAACGCGTCAATATTCGATTTCACATAATTTTGTCGTGACATGTGAAGTCCGAATTTAACAGCTGCCTGTCGTGTGTTGTGGGTCCTCATAAATCACATTGTGTGAGTTGGACGGTGTGTGTGATTTTTCTGTGTTGTTGTGCTGCTTTTTCTGCTCCAACACACACACGTCTCAAATAACTGATGTGTGAAGTTCTCATTCTTTCTTTGTGCGCCAACATCATCATCATCACATACATAAGTACAGTTCACGTGTTCAATAACCTGGAGTATTTTGTCTTAAATAGTGTAAATAAAACATGATTTAGTGAAAGTGAAAGTAAAATGCACCTGGCACGGAGCTCTGGGCGATGATCACTTCACTGGGCAGGACCAGACTCGACAGTTTCTGCACCTCTGAGAAAAGAAAAACACAAAATGATAAAACTGTTTATACACGCTACAACGTGGGAGAAAATCTGGTTTCTGACCCTTCACTTCAAAACTCACACAGGGTTCATTTAAAAGTACAATGTCCTGAAACATGAACTGTATAAAATGCATGAATAATAATTTAGTAAAGATATTTTTTTGACAATTAGGGCCAGATTCTGACAAAAACACCTGACGTTTCCTGTAAAGCTGCACAATTTGGAAAAATGTGCAAGTTTAGATTAAAATGAGCAGAATTTCAAAATAAAAAACTGGGACATCCTAAAATTGTTTTGCAAGAGACGATTCACGATGAACATGTGAGTCAATATCGTCACATTTTCTTTGTTGGGAAATTCTGTTGGGACAAGGACACAGGCTCAAAACTGGAACTGTCCCAGGGAAACAAAAACGTCTAAATAATTTTTTTTTACGCAATAAGAGAAAATTCTGTGACTTAAATGGGCCTAATTTCTTTATGCTGAATCTTGACGTTCAAAAAGTCAAAAGTCACTCCATGTGCTGCAATTTTTGACCAAACGCGTCAATATTCGATTTCACGTGATTTAGTCGTGACATGCGCAGTTCGAATTAAACGGATGAACAGTTTACGTTTCTTTTCTTTCTTTTCGACATTCTTGGCTCGTCTCCCGCCGCACGGCCGCGATGTTCTTTCGTGTTCACAAGTTGTAATTGTGCAAACATGATTGTGTGGCTCTTTTGAAGCCGCAGCTGGTCGTGTCGCGTCACGCTGCGCACCACGTGACCCGCGGCCTCTTAAGAGAAGAAAAAAGCGCGTATCTAAATCGTTTTAAACTTTTATTATGACGGGGTTAATCTGCGCTGTGGCCGTCGGGGGCCGCTCTCCTCCCGCACCACAAAAACCTCGCGCTTTTTAACGTCGCTGCGCATTTCACGGTCCTCCCGCGAGCGTGAAACCGGCACGACGTAAACGAGACGCAGATTAGCGGCGGGACAAAAGCGCACGAGACGAGAGCCGGGGGCCGCGCGCGAGGGAACGGGCCTTCACACGCGCATTAAAGGGGCTATAAATGCAAAGTGAAACGCGGGGTGCGGGGGGGGGCTCGTGGGGTGCGGGGGGGCTCGTGGGGGGCGGGGCTCGCGGCGCAGACGGGAGCGGCGACACGGGATCACGGGATTAGCGTCGCGTAATGGAGCCAATGAAAGTGAATGAGCTCGTGATAACAGCGCTAACAGGTGCGCGCGCGTGAAAAGGCGATTGAGAACGCGAAAGGGGGGGCGCGTTTTAAAGCGTAAAATAATTAACTGTCAACTCGGCCTATTAGTGTCGACTTGAGGTGACGACAAAAAGAAAGATTACGGCCTAATGCCCGAGATAAGCTTTCAGTATTAAAGTCGCACTATGGGACTTTTGAACGGTCGGCGCGCTGGACTCAATGGAAACGTTTCTGCTTTGTTTAGAAAGTCCCGCCGTATGTTTGCCTTATTAAACTTGCATTTATGGTGATACGAATGTCATTATAGTTCAAAAATATCTTGAAAAACGCAAATTTTTACTGTTACACCGAAAAAAATTGAGGGTTAAAATTTTTCAGAGTTGTTTTTTAACACAAAAAGCATCATTTTAACAATTTGAAAGTTACACGGGGGTTGGAGTTGGGCTTATTTGATGTTAATTCAACTCCCCTTAGTGTTAATTTGTCTCCTCCCACCACTGCTTCAAACTCCCGTGAGAGAAGACCAGTTTGAACCAGTTTTGTTCATAATTTCATCTTAAATTAACTCAAATAAAGTGTCAAAATAAAACCCCTCTGTGTGTTGTTTAGTTAAATCAGGATAACGCTACAAAGTGTTATCTGTTTACTCTCAAAACGTTCATGTAACTCTGGATTTTGGGTTAAAATAGAGGAACTTTGGTCCAGTGTGACTTAATTAACATTTCCGAAAGTGTTAAATTAATAAAAATAGAACGGATTAAACTCATATAAACTCTGAGAAAATGTTAAAATTGATTCTGTGAGAGTCGAGATTTTAACACTTTTTTTTTGAGTACCGTGGTCGCCTTTTCGAAGATCTGACCTGTAACTTTGTCTTCTAACGCCGCCGTGAACATAGATTTTAGTTTAGTACCAAATACTTCGGCCAAAGCAGTAACATCTCCATGGAGACACTTCGGCAAAAAGTGACGTAGTGACTCAATTAAATCCTGCATTAAGCAGGATGAAAACTAAATGAACACAACAAACAAAAAATTAAACACGCGATGCTCTTAATTTAAAAGGCTCTCAGTTACGTCATAATGTCATAATAATAACAATAATAAGGCGTATATATGTATATATATATATTTATTTTAGTCCTACGTAAATAGTGTGTATGCCACGAGCGCGAGTTTTTTTAAACGCGTAAAATTAAACTCTAAACCCGAACAGTTGACGTTATAAATAATCATAATAGAATATAAAAATATGAAAAATACGCACACTTTGAATCAAATTTCACCTGATTTTGCCAAACGTCAAATCCAAACATCGGTCATACCTTCACACGGCTGTTACGCGTGCCACACCACTCCTTTACGCGCGTTTAATAAATAATCACATTTTACGCACAGGACGCATCGAAATCTGAACCTTGAGCGTGTTTGTGATCGTTTTCTGACTTTTTTTTTTTCGTTTTGCGTTTTTAGTCACGCTCTGATCACGCGCTTTTCAGAAACACTCCAAGATTTTTTTTTTCTTTTTGTTTTACCCAATTAAACCAATTACGCAAACGCATTTAAAAGCGAGAGTTCGTTAAACGGCCGTATCCTCGAAGCGTTTTTCCATTTATTTTTCAACGAACGACATTTTTATGACACAAATTCTACGGTTTTACGTTTTTTTTCTTTTTTCTTTTGAGGCCTTCGCCGCTGCAGGCCGGAGCTCGCGCCAACGACCGAAAACTCAAACCTGTTGCTTCTACGATCGTTTACGTAACTTCGATAAATAAAAGTATAACTACGCACATAAACATCCCATTCTCCCTCGCGTAAAAGAGTATGCTGACAATTTATATCCGCAAATTTAATCGAAATGATCCACAATTTACGTTTTCCATGTGGCCTAAAAACGGGATGCTTTTGGAAAAAAAAACGTGCGTAAAAATCCCCAAAACACCATACACATTTTACGCTCGTTTTGTCCTTAATGGAGATCTTTACGAAATTGTGACGCGTTGTTGCTATGGAGAAAATATGTTTGGAAATTCGTTTTTAAAAATCCTGAATAATTGTTTCTTTTTGACACGATCGTGCGTAAATATCGAGAAAATGTGACTTTAAAGAGCGCGTAAAAGCAGCGGGGAAAGCGTAAAAAACAGAAAATAAATCTTATAATACGGGATCGATTTTTAATAAACTAGAATTTAAAAAAAATTCGAGATTATTTAAGATAATCTCCGTCAGTTTGGTCTAAATAAAGTCTTGGATCACCGCGTTAAGTCTCCGTTACGCGCGAAGACCAATTGGTTTTTCGAATGCGTAATGTGCAATTTTACGCACTCAATTCTTGTTTAATTAGCTCGATATAATTGGCTGAATTTACACGAAATTAAAAGCGTCATTAAAAACAAAATATGTGCATGTAAATGAGCGGAGGTTTGGAGTGTGCGGCTGCGCGTAAAAGGCACCTGTTGGCGTTTATTCGAGGCGATCGGATTTTACGCATCGAGTTATAATTTTATTCAGTTACCATGGTGATGAAATGACAAAAAATACTGTTCATTTTTTAGTAAGAGGATCATTTAAAAGTGGTAGAATGTGTAAGTGAAATGTAGAAATGTCCGGATGCCCTCCCGCTGCGCCACTGACCTCCGGAGAAGGACTGCGCGAGGACCTCCGCCGTGAACGCGGTCTTGGGGCTCGCGCTCGGGGCCGTGCGGTCCTCGTGCTGCGGGTGTTCGCCCAGCACGTGCCTCCAGCGGCCGTACAGGAAGCTGTGCAGGACGTCCGACGTGATGATGTCAGCGAGGGACAGCGGCACCGCGGGCTGAGGCTTGAACCCGGCTTTGAGCGCCAGGCTGGACCCGGGCAGAACCGAGCCCATCGCGGCGATCAGAGGAGGAAGAGGAAGGAAGGAGATGGAGGAAGAGGAGGCCCGGGGTCAGAGAGTCAGCTGTATCCCGGCAGAAGCTGAGCCTGCGCGGGGAGATGTGATGGATTTTCCCCGGGGGCCAGAGAGTCAAGCTGAAGAGACGCTGCGCGATCGACCTTCTGACCCGGAGGAGCGCGCCGACGGAGCGGGGTCAGAGCGATAGTTTACCCGGGCGAGAGGCGGACGTGCGCGGGGAGAGCGGCGTGACCTCTCCCGGAGTAAAGACGCGCTCTCCCGGGGCTCGGATCTGGAGACGGACTTCGGATCCAAGTGGTTCCCGGACACAGGTGCTCCTCCTCTTCTTCTCCTCTTCGGGTGAGTTTTTTGTTTTTTGCCTCCGGAGGTGCCAAAACTTAAACTCTAAAACCAACAAAAGTCTTAAATCTTAGGCTGAAGTTTGGTGAATCTGAGGCCGTTTTTGGACACTTTCTTCCGGAGTGATTTGTCAAATGGAGAGACGCGCAGACACGGGTCCTTTTAAAGACGCACACCTCCTCCTCTTCCTCCTTCTCCTGTCGCGAGGGAGGAGTGTGCGCGCGCCTCTGTGTGTGTAAGTGTGTGTGTGTGTGTGTGTCTGTGTGTGTGGGCGCGCGTTCACCGGTGAGAGCGCGTGCACGTGGGCGTATTGAAGCCGTAATAATGATGTTGTTGTTGTTTGGAGACGTGCTCCGGAGGGCGGGGGCGCGCACAACCTGATGCGGCGTTTTTCAACTGGAACTTTCTTTTCTGCCCAGAACGACACAGAAATGCGGGGAGGGGCGGTTTAGAGAGAAAGAGAAAGAGAGAAACAATCAACATTTATGGATTTTTTCTATTTGGGTTAGAATATTTCTCGCACCAGTCCTCACGTCCTCCTCACCTGAGACTGAAATGTCTCTAAACATCAGGTTTTTCTTTAGGCCTGAACATCTTTTCTCTTTCAGTTTGAGTTTTATTTCAGAGGAATTTCCATCATAAAGTCTGAATAAAAGAGCAGCTGGAGATAAAGAGGTGAAATGTTTCGCTCGTGGACAAAAGGAGTCGTGAGTGAAAGAGCTCGAGGTGAAGGTTATTGATTTTGACGCACAACTGAGGCGTGTTCATCCGCGCGCGCTCCGCAAACACATGAAATGAAACAAGAGCGTGAGGGACACTCCAGCCTCTCAGAACATCTCAGAACATCTCAGAACCTCTCAGAACATCTCAGAACATCTCAGAACATCTCAGAACATCTCAGAACATCTCAGAACATCTCAGAACATCTCAGAACATCTCAGAACATCACGGAGAGGCCGAACCCGCGTGTGTGTGTGTGTGCGTGTGTGCGCGTGTGTGCGCGTGTGTGTGCGCGTGTGTGTGCGTGCGTGTGTGTGTGTGCGCGTGTGTGCGTGTGTGCGCGTGTGTGTGTGTCTGATGATGAGCGGGGCTGGGCCTGAGCAGCACGAGACACGGTCTGTGGAAACTGTCGCGCCCTGAGGCAAGACACTTTACGCACCACCGTCCCCAGAGTAAGTGTGTGTGTGTGTGTGTGTGTGCGTGCGTGTGTGTGCGTGTGTGTGTGTGCGTGCGCGTGTGTGTGTGTGCGTGTGTGTGACCTGTTGATGCGGAGTCTCACCTGTGGCTCTTCACGCGCCTTCAGCTCCACAAAAGGATTTTATGACACGGACTGAACGGAATAAATCTGGTTAATTAAAACTTGTAAATGTTTTATTTTGAACTTTGTGCTTTTATAAATTGATACTGGCTTTATGTTATTTAGGGATCTAACTGTACAACATCAAACACTGTTCCTCTTACAGCGGCTCAGTTTCGTCTCTGAAGTGACTCCAGTATTTTCATTTTGTAAAGATCCACGTGTATCTGAACTCCTGCGGCCTGAAGAGGCCCACCAGCCCCGGACTAAGTCCCGCTCAGAGCTGGTTCAGTCCTGGTTCAGTCCTGGTTCAGTCCTGGTTCAGTCCTGGTTCAGTCCTGGTTCAGTTCTGGTTCAGTTCTGGTTCAGTCCTGGTTCAGTCCTGGTTCAGACTCGGAGCGCGCACGGTGCGCGTGTCCCCGCGCGCCTCACGCGCCCGCGCGGCTCCTTTGTGTCTTAATCCTTCTATAATGGCGCTTTAATAACGAACTCTTTTCTTTATTTCGCAGTTTTTGTCTCGTTTTGCGCCGGGGTCGTGCGTCACGCTTTAACGCGCTTTGGAGCTCACGCGCGGAGCGGCAGGTGACTGGCACGCGTGACGGGACCGAGCGCAAACGGCGCACGCATTGTTCCGCGGGTCATTAGTATTCATGCGCCGCGCACTCACCACAACGTGCGCTAAGAATGTGCGCTAACAGGCTTTTAGCGGATCAGCCGCACAGAGCGCAGCTGCGCGGCCTCAGCGCGGCCCGACACCCGCACATCCAGGACCGAGACCCGCAGACCGAGGTCCAGGCCCCGGTCCAAGTCCCGGTCTGGGCGCGGGGCGGGAGTCCATCAGGCTCGTGCGCTGCTCCATTAGACTCAATAAAAAAACATTTACAAAACAATGTGTCATCGATTATTCATACGACAGAGAGAAAGAGAGAGAAGGAGAGAGAAGGAGGAGATGGAGAGAGTCGTTCAGTTCTGACTCCTTCACTTCTGAGCTCGCGGGTCCGTCACCTGCTTCATGGACACGTTCGTGTTTTTTGAATGTTCCGGTGTGTGGCTTTCAGCGCATCTCCATGGAGACGGGCAGGTGACGTCACCAGGTCAAATCACAGACCTGAAGGACTCGGTTATAAAACTGAACTTCACTGTCTCTGCGCACGAACCGAACCGAAGCGCTCATGTTCACATTTATTTCTTGGTTTGAATCTGTTTATATTAAACTTAAAGGTTCTTGACTCTTGTCTTTTCTGATGTTCTGATGTTTCTTCATCTCAATCAGACCTGGAGTTGTGTTTTGTTTCACTCACATGTTTAACTCACAAATCTGCATATTTAGACGGAGTTCTTCTGTTCCACCTTGTGATGTCATCATGTGGTGATACAGGAAGTGCTCCACTGTGTTTTTAAACTCCACACACCTTCACTAGAATCATTTGGATCTTTTTTCAGCTCTGGAGTCATCGATCTCTATGAAACTAAAGGGAAATGGAGCTGTTCAACCACCACCTCATGACATCACGAGGTGGAGCAGAGTGTTTTGAGCTTTGGAGATGTAAACAGACTCATAATAAAGAGTCACTCAAACATGTGAAAGAAACAAACACAAGTCCAGGTCTGATTTTGATGAGGAAACATCAGAACACGACATTATCTTCATTTAATGACCCTCAACATCCACCTCTATTTGGACCTGGTTTAGACCTGGTTTAGACCTGGTTTAGACCTGGTTTAGACCTTGTTTAGACCTTGTTTAGACCTTTTTAGACCTTGTTTAGACCTTGTTTAAAACTGGTTTAAGACCTGGTTTTAGACTTGGTTTAGAACTGGTTCAGACCTGGTTTAGATCTGGTTCAGACCTGGTTTAGATCTGGTTTTAGACCTGGTTTAGAACTGGTTCAGACCTGGTTTAGATCTGGTTCAGACCTGGTTTAGACCTGGTTTTAGTCCTTGTTTAGACCTGGTTTAGACCTGATTTTAGACCTGGTTTTAGTCCTTGTTTAGACCTGGTTTAGTCCTTGTTTAGTCCTGGTTCAGACCTGCTTTTAGACCTGGTTTTAGTCCTTGTTTAGACCTGGTTTAGACCTGGTTTAGAACTGGTTCAGACCTGGATTAGAACTGGTTCAGACCTGGTTTAGATCTGGTTCAGACCTGGTTTAGACCTGGTTTTAGTCCTTGTTTAGACCTGGTTTAGACCTGGTTTAGACCTGGTTTTTAGTCCTTGTTTAGACCTGGTTTAGTCCTTGTTTAGTCCTGGTTCAGACCTGCTTTTAGACCTTGTTTAGACCTGGTTTAGACCTGGTTTAGACCTGGTTTAGTTCAATCTTTGTTGTCTCTAAAATAAAAGCGTTGCAGCTTTAGTCGAGGCAGAAGGTCAAAATGATAAAATATGTTTATGTTGATCTTTTCAATGAGTTTAAACGAGAAGCTCAGAGTCAAACAAAAAGACCAAACGTGGACGTGTAAAACTCCTCGGTTTGGACTGGAGCCATGTGACTGTGAGGGTTTGTTCTTCTGCAGGTTCGTCCACAGCAGCGTGTGTGTGTGTGTGTGTGTGTGGGGGGGGGGGGGCAGGGGCAGGGGGGCGTGGCGGCGTGGTGGGGGGGGGGCGTGGCGGTGCGAGGATGCAGTCACCACATTTGGCTCGGCTCCAGATCCATCGTCTGAATCTTTAATCAGAAGAGTGCTCACACTTCCTGGACTTTATGATATCGTACGGTCTGTGGGGACGCGGCTGCACTCATATCACACAAACACACACCGTACGCTCGGGAGGGACGGCGCTGGGGCCTCGTCCGGAGCCTCGTCCGGGGCCTCGTCTGGAGCACTTACTGTTTCCATCGCCGTTTTTCACCGACCGACAAGAACCAGACTGTCACCTGAAGCTCCTAAACCTCACAAACCCAACACTGATCAGATATAAAGACTCACTGCGGCACTTTTTGTTTCCAGTGGAGCGTCCAGTCAGTCAAACTCTGCAATGCTCCACAGTACGGCATTAAACCTTTCTATCTCCACGGAGACCAAACCAGACCAAGTTCCAGATCAGATCTGTGGAGGGGCGACCCCGCTCAACAGTCAGAGCGTCTCGTTTCATGTTTTTCGAGGGATTTTTGAGCTGTAAATCCACCTGTGATTGAATAAATGTAAAGCAGAGCTGTTTAAAGTCACACTGTGGAACATTCCAGGCAGAGCAATGACGTATCCATAGAAACGAGCAGGTGACGAACGCCCAACAGAAAAGTTACACAGTGCACTGTGTTCTAAAGCTCATCCCAATCAGAGCTGGAGTTGTGTTTTGTTTGAGTGATTCTTTATTTCTCGTCTGCGTCTCCACAGAGTTCAGCTC